CACAATTATTGCAACCACTTGGATGTTCTGTTTTTTGTTTTTTATAATTTTATTTATTTATTTTTCCTCCCAAAGCCCCAGTAGATAGTTGTATGTCATAGCTGCACATCCTTCTAGCTGCCGTATGTGGGACGCAACCTCAGCGTGGCCAGAGAAGCGGTGCGTCGGTGCGCGCCCGGGATCCGAACCCGGGCTGCCAGCGGCGGAGCGCGCGCACTTAACCGCTAAGCCACGGGGCCGGCCCGGATGTTCTGTTTTTTAAAAACCTACTTTACTCAATATTTTTTCTCACTATTGATCTGCTACATGGTACACTTCATTCCTTTAAAAAAAATCCCCTGTTGGCACTATTTTGCAAGCCATAATGAGTGAATAGATCTGGGTGATAATCATCAGTGGCTGCTAACATTCTAAAAGAAAGACAGCCAGACATTCTGAGCCTCCAGATAGTCCATATATCACCACTTATGAAGCAGTTTTGCAAAAAAATAATATAGGTAGCAAACCTGAATTTCATCAAGCCCCTAGATCTAATTATCAATTCAGAGGAATACAGAGTAAATGACACAGCAGAAATGAAACCAGCAAAGGCAGACAGTGGGACACTAACAGACAAAGGACCTCAGTTTCTTCAGCAAAAATTTGCAAGGAAAAAAGGAGACATGGAGGAGGAATCTATAGATTCAAAGATACTTGAGCCATATCAACAAATCATAATATACGTACCTTCTCTGGATGCAGATTCAAACTAACGAATTGTGTTAAAAATAGAAGACTGTTAGCGGAAAGTGAACACTGACCATATATTTAATTACATTGAGGAATCCCCATTATTTTTGGGGGGTGTGTGATAACAGTATTATAAGATACCCTTTTATTGATACATATTGAAACATTTATGGATGAAATTATATGATATCTGGGGTTTGCTTCAAAATAATACAGGGGAGGATTGTGTGGTGGTGTAATTACAATGAACTGGTCATAGGTTGATAACTGCCAAAGCTGGGTGATGGGTACACAGGGGTTCATTATACTATTCCCTTGACTTGTGCATATGTTAGAAGTTTTCTATAATAAATCGTTTATAAAAATCTTTTTGAAAAAGTACCTTTAAGGTTTCATAAGTTCTATGAAATGCAGAGATGTTTTCAAATTTAAATATGCAGCAAAAAGACTCTGCTACTACATAACAATGAATTTTCATATCTGAGATAAAACGTTTAAATCAACATACCAACCAATACAATTGCTGTAACTCTTTCCTGATGGATTAGATTACCCTGAACCAAGATCTAAAGTTTAGAGATTTTCACAACCAACCACTATGTATAAATATACATCAGGGTAAAAGAAAAGCAAGTTCAAGTAATTTGCTCCTGTCATTCAAAGACAAAAATGCCTCTTCAGAGGAAGAAAGGACTCAGCAAGCATTTATTGAACACCTACCAAGTGTCAAGCTGTCTAGGCACACTTCCTTATAAACACAATGAAATGTTTCTTCTATTGCATTCATCCACTGGTTGACAGAATTCAACTGAATAACTATCCTCAAATACTTTCTGGAAGTAGAAATGTGAAGAGGACACATACCAAATAAGTATGTGCAGATATAGATGTGCGTATAGCAAAGAGATATACAAGGATATATTGTACACAAAGTTTCCCTTATATGTACCAGGACACAGATTTTATCTGTCTTAAAAAACCTCACCCTAATGTCTGGTAGCATTTAAATTAAGAAGATTTGTATATGACTCCACTAGGATGTCTAAAAATTACCAAAATGGCACAAATATTAGGAGTTTAACTTACTCCCAGAGCCATGTATTAATTGAGCAATCTCTGTAAAAAGTAACTGTAATTTATGAAGAGTATTAAATGGGCTGTTCTAACAAAGACCTTGAGATTAAGTACAGTTTAGCTCAAACTAGAGTAAAAAGTTAGATGTCTTTTGTGCATTAACTACATTTGTCTTTTTCAGTTTATAATAAAACTAAATACGCATTTCCCATGGTTTTACAAGATGCTATCCCTGGGGGGAACATGAGACCTCCGTGTACAGTTTTTCTTTTTTTTTTTTTTTTTTTGCAACTTCCTGTGAATTTATAGTTACTTCAAAGTTTAAAATTTTTTTTAAAAAGTAAAGCACATCAAAACTACTAACACCATTCTCTGGGGGCAGGGAATAAGCAGAGTCATTCTAAAACCCAAGGTTTCACTTAGACAAATCCTACCAATCTACATAATTCCTGTATGTGATGTGATCTAATTACATACATTTTACCATCAGAGTGTAAACGGCTACTGAAAAGCCTGTTATAACACTGAGAGATGCTATTTCTCTTTCTCGCAGGGGATTATTTTCATTTGGCAAGCCACAGGGACATTATTATCACATCTGCTTTACTATGAAGGCTTCTGGGAGCACCATCATCCCACAACCCCATGGGACTGGCCTCTCCGCCTTTGTATCCCACTGTTCCTCAGACACTCGGCTAGCAGAGCACTGGGGCACTTTCCCAAACTTCTGCAGATTTGTGCACCCCCTTTCCGCAATGTGAGCTGGCTGAAGGCAGGGACCCTATCTGATTTGTGTCCGTATATCTTCAGTGCCTTGTATAGTGTCTTAGCAACAACAGGGGCTCAATAAAGGTTGACTGAATGAAGAATAGAAGAAAAGGAAGGAAGGATGGCTAGATAGACGGATATGGATAGACAGATGGAAAGATGGATAGATGGGCCCTCTTCGCCTTAAGGAATACATACAGGAAGACTACAAAAGCCATGTAGTTCTTTCAGAAGCATCCATCCTTGTTAGGAAACCATGCCTCTCCAGGGACCTAAAAAGTCCCTCAACAAGGGACATATTCCATGGTAACCAAACATGGCTGCTGAAACTATTGGGCTCTCCTAGTCCTGAAATGGAAAGCTTTTAAATGAATGAGTGTTGGGGAAGGCAGTTTCCACAAGAAAAACAGTGCCTTACAAGCATGTGAAGGAAGGCGAAGTGATTGGAGAGATGATTCCACTCAGGCTCCTAACCTCCTGCCCCAGGAATTCCAGCACCATGTGCTTTGAGCTGAGGGGTCAGGCAAGGTCAAATGTCCGTATTATTGACTTGGAGCTAGAAGAGACAGTTTATTTCAATAGTTCCAAAAATACAAGAGGCATTATTTCTCTGACCCTCCAGTTCTGAGAGCATAGCTAACGTGGCAGGATACCAAGAGGTCAAGATTCTCCCAAAGAGGTTGTCCAATACCTCCCCAGATCTCCTTTTCTGCATCTGTAAAGGAATCCCAAAGTAATTTCCAAATGCAGAGACAATGCTTCAGTGAGCACAGTACCAATTGGTGTGCAAGCAGCCTCAACATACTAACTAGTTATGTCCCAAGAGTTCATCAAGATTAACAATGAGAGCAACATTTTATGGAGGGCCTTCTATGGGTGAGGCAGTTTATATACATTATTGCTATTGTAAATCATAATGCACTTCCCCATGGAAATAATGGTATAATGACCTGATTTGGTCCTCCCTCCAAGAAAGCCCATTTAATCCACAATATCCCTGAGGTATATATTGTTATTATAGGACCCAATTACCAGGTACAATACTATTCCAGTGTACAAAAGGAGACACCAGGGCAGTTAGAATTCTAATGTGTAATTTGGGAGTTAAAGCAATTCCCACTATCATGGGCTCAAGGACACTTTCTGCTTTCCCAGCCATACTCACTAGCTGGGCCATGTTAGCAGAGAACCCCCTCCCCGCAAGCCAGAGAAGGTAGCAGGAGCTCCAAAATGCTTCATTTGCTCCCAAATCACCTCCCATCCTTCCTACCATAGACCCTAGGATGGAATGGAGTTAAGGGGTGGAGGAGTCCCAGGCTTCAGCAGTAGAGGGAAAGGGTATAGGTAAAGCCACTGAGCCAACCAGCTAGCGCTACTGTTTCTATGTATGACGGGCTGTATGAGCCAGAGCTGCTGAGACACCAAGTGAAGGAGGTCTCCTGAGCACTTCTCCGGAAATGGCTTTACCCCCAAATTGAGAATTTGTCCAATCATGCTACTGGTTAAATAAGAGAGACACAACTAACCTGAGAGCACCACTCAAGTCAGATTTTTCCAAATGGAAAAGAAAGATGTTTAAGAATTATATTGACAGGACTGAGCTGTCCTCCTCTTGTTAGAAAGGAAAGTCTGCAACCCCAGGTAGTGCCTACGTAGTGCCTACCACTACGACACAGTCAAACCTCTTACAACATTCACGCCCATGACCTTGGCTCAAGACGGCACAAAGAGATACACAGACGCCCATGTAGGAAGCTGGGTTAGTGACTGGGAGAACAAAGCTTCCCGGTCCTGACCTTTTGCTCCGTGAGCTGGAAAGGGCAGCAGAGAAGCTGGAGGGAGGAGAGCTTCAGGCCCTGGAGAAAGAAAGACCTGGAGTTCGTTCTCACTATCACAGAAGGACATGCATGCTCACCCAGGGTGGGGCTGGACTCGCAGCTGTCTTGTCATACTTTTAAGGGAACTGGCATGCACTCATCCTGAACACAGCACTTCTCGTCACCAATGATTTTTGGTGTGTGTGTGCCATTTTTCTCCACGTTCTTCAAGGGATGCTGAGAAATACTAACAATCTCATTTGGTTCATTTTTAAAATAATTATCAACTTGCAATGAGTGACACTTCAGAAGTATATGGAGGCACAGCAACATGGACCACCCATGGAGGAGTATTACCACGGCATGAAGGCTGATGGTCATCTATCCAGAGACATACAGAGTGTGCATCCGCGCACACATAAAGGTGTGAGGGTTACACCTTCACAATGATAAACCTACTAAGCCACAGTGGGTTAAGGCAGTATAACCTAGAAAACACTCATGAGCTTCTGTCACAGCCACTTGGCATAGGCGACCAAACAGAGTGGAGGCTGGAGCAGCGCCCACAGGTGCCCCCATCCCTTTCCTGTGTGGTGGGGCGGACTTCCTTACTTGACTTGGAGAGCTGCTCATCCTGGGAAATGCCGAGGTCATCTGACTCCCCTGACAGCTCCTTGATGAAGTTGGAAGGAAACATTCCAGTCTTTCCATTGAGAACGCCTTCCCACCATCCTTCTTCTACCTGCACAGATGCGAACAGAAGAACGGAGAGGCAGGGATCAGGTTAGACATGGTAGTTCCCAGTTTTCTCTCTCATCTGTATGGTGCAGAGTGCAGAGTCCACACAGGGAGAGCTGAAGGACTCAAAGCTTACAAGTTGACAGGGAACGAGAAGGCAGACCTCAGAGAGTCTTGGGATTCAGACTCAGGAAGAGGGGCTTAACCTGAGGGCCATAAATGCAAGTGGAAAAGAATTAGCACTTTATTTTCACAAACCTCAAACTGAAATTTGGCATTTCCTTTGATTAGGAATGTAGGTAACAAACCACACCACAGTAACAGAAGGACCTGTGACTCGTCACCAAACAAATCAAAGATATTTTCATATCACATCATAGAGGCTGCGGGTATCTCAAGATATCATTTGCACTCATCACTACTTTGAAGTGGGGGTAGTTATCACACCTGCTGGGAGATCTTGTTATTTAATGTATTAATAAGGAATTACTTATCACTTATAATAAGAAATTACACATAGATTGCTATATCAAAATTTGCTTTTAAAATAGCTTGAAAACTACTTCAATACAAATGGTTCCCTTTGTAATCTTATGTGTTTTATTTTATGCATTTAAAACTATTACTTAAAAACTGAGAATGGCGAACATGATGTAATCTATGCAGAAATAGAAGTACAATGATGTACACCTGAAATTTTTACAATGTCATAAACCAATGTTACTGCAATAAACAAAAAATTAAAAAAAAAAAAACTGAGAATGGCTTCCCCAGACTACTAAAACTAACTAGACAGCCTAATAAAAACAGTTTAAGAATCCCTGGGCTGAGAACACAATCAGAAGGTAGAAGTCAGACAAAGAAAGACAAATACCATATGATTTCACTCATATGTGGAAGATAAACAAACAAACAAACACATAGATAAGGAGAATATATTGGTGGTTACCAGAGGTGAAGGGGGTGGAGAGTGGTCAAAAGGGGTAAAGGGGCACATATATATGGTGATGGATGGAAACTAGACTATTGATGGTAAACATGATGCAGTCTATACAGAAGCTGAAATATAATGATATACACCTGAAATTCATATAATGTTATAAGCCAATGTGACCTCAATAAAATAATTTTTTAAAAAGTTTAAAAATCAACATACAAAATTCAGTTGCATTTCTATACACTAACAA